TTTACAGAGGCAACAAAAGGAGGCACAATAGAAAATAAAATAAATAATTAAACAAAAGAAAATGCACACTGTAAATCCATAAAATGCAGATGTGGTGCGTAAAGGTTACCCAAACGCCTTAAAAGGCACGCTGCCGATTTTATACATGAAGATTATTTTATCCTTCATGAACAATACAATTCAGTGGAAGAGCATTGTTTGATCTGATATAATCATGGTTATTGATTCTGATCGCACTGCCCAAGCTAAAATTATGACACTACAAAGCAGCAATTGTGATGCTGAACACAATCGAGTTATACAAGTAATTGTATACAGAAAAACAAAAGCCTAAACATTACTGGCTCCAGCTTCTTAACTGTGAATGTAAGCTGGTTTACTGAACTCTACAGTAAATAGCATATGTTTGGAGGCTTGGACTGCTTAAAACAAGACATTTAAAAAGGTAGACTTGAGGAAAAGTGATGACATCATTCACCACGGTCTGAAATTTTATAGATTAATCGATTAAACTGCTAATTAAGATACTAGACATAGTGTAATCTGACGTGCTTTGTCAACAGTGAGCACCACCCATCACTGCCATGTACAGTATTGTTAGCTCATATTTTAGCATTACTCTGTGTTGGGTTGATTATAACGCTTAACACGACTCACTAACACATCGGTTACGTGTAACAACTAGTTTACGTGGCTGATAGCTCAATATTAATCATTAATGTTGGAGACGGAGCTGACGGCTGTGGGCTGGCCTGGCGTGCTATCGTTAGCATGGCCAGCTAAAAAGCTAAGCGAAGCCACCGCCGCTGTGTTTCTCACCTTTCCGCTTTTATTTACTCCATGTTTGTCGTGAGGGTTTAAAGTCCTCTTCTGAGACAAAATAAGGACAGAGGAGGACGTTTATTTTTCAATTTTTTTTTTTTTTTGGGTTTTTTTTCTCGGGAATCTCTTGAGGTTGTATTAACACAAATTTGTAGTGCGCACAAGCCTCACTTCCTTTTGTTGTGAGATTTGTTGCCTCGTTATGCTCCACATCCCCCTTTTTATCCGGGCAATATAAACAAGTAAATTCAGCGCTCCGTTCCCACCAAACTGGCAACCCAGTTTGTGGCGCGTCAGTGAGTGGCGCAAAACATGGACTGGATTACAGCATGGATCTGGAT